TCCCCACCCACCAAGGCGGGCAGACCCTGCTGCTTGGCCTATGGGAGGAGAGGCGGCCCAGGCCTGAGGAAAGTCAAGGTGAGCTGGAAGCTCAGATGACTTGACTGGTGCTCCCCACACCCGCCGGAATGGGCTCGCTATGCAGTGCTCCTCCGAGCCCCATGACCACACATCAGTGCCCCAGCTGTGGAAGCCTTTCCTGCTACCGCTGACATAAAATTCTCTGGTTTTATAGAAACACTGAAACCATCTAATCTGGGACAGTGTTTGGGTAACAATTTTATTCTTTATCCACTTAAGATTTGTTCTTGACTTTTTTCCCCATTCCTTTTCACCCATTTCCCATCACTGACCCAGATCCTCCTCAGCAGAATCACTTGCTTGCAAAGACAAACCCCAAGTCACGTCCGGAGGAGGCCTCTATAAATTCCTTTTGTCTGGAGATGGTCCCTGAGCCGCGGTTTGTGAAACATGGTTTTATGAGGAAAGAAGATGGGATGAAGACAGAAAAGGACACCTCAGAAATAAAAACATTGTGGTGTGAACACAGGGGTGGATGCCAGGAAGTCATGAGTTCTAATCCTAAATGTGTTTCCCAAGGCACAGTGGCAGAGTTGGATGGAGAAGTGCTAGAGAGCATTTTTATTCACTTTTCCCTCAACTGTCGAGCCCATGGTGCCTTCAGCACTCTGGAAGAGATTTGAAGAGAGCCCAGTGTCAGGTCCCACCTTGAGGCACTCCTGGCCTTGTCACATGATAAGATGTGTCCTGAGTAACCCCCAGCATGGCAGGGCCAGGACCTGGCCCGGACAGCAGCAGAGGTGGCTGCCCTCTGGGGAGCAGGGTTGCTCCCTGGAGCAGAGATGGCCTGCAGCCAGGCCTTTAAAAGCAAGGGAGCACTCACACATTGCCCAGCATTGGGGTAAATGTCCAGCGTTAGTACGAACCACGTTTCAGTGACCCGAGGGCGCTGAGAACAGTGTAGTGCTGAGGTGCGTGCTGGGGGTGTGTATTCTCACTGGAGGAATACAGGTTAGGGCCTGATGGCGACCAGTAATACATTCTAAGCTGAATTCCTTTTTTACTCAGGAGTTGATGGAGGGTTTTGATCAGACACATAATTAAGGTGACTCATCTGGCAGCAACCATGCATGACCTTGTGGGAGAGCCATTCTGTGAGGTGGTAGGGGCCATGGGCCCCCTCCAGTGAGGTGGATGGTGACACCGTGGCGAGTTAAAATGTTGCTGTGGAGACTAGACAGCTGCTTCCAGCTTCCAGGAGGCTAAGATGAGGGTACCCTGAGGAGGAGGAGGACACGGGGTTAGAGGAGCGGGGTGTGAGCGCCAGAAGAGCAGAGATTCTCTCTGTGCTTTTGTTATCTCCTGGGATTCCTGGCCAGCTCTTAAGGGATTATCACAGAAGGCTTCTATTTATTCCTCATGTGTTCTTTTCCCACACCAGTGGTTTTGAGTTAAACAATCTTAGATGTTTTCTGTCGCTTTAAAAATTTGTAAGACCTTCAGTCACTTGCCTTCACAAATTTTGGTTGCGTAACATTGCTCTGAATTGGAACTCGTGGGGAGGCACCCCTCCCCACCCCAGCAGTTTATCTCCTGTGGGTTAGGATTAGCTTCTTTCTAACTGTTGTTGATTCTCTAAACATTCTAATGCCAGCAGGCCAGGCTTCTCCCTGCAGATTGTGAGACCAAAGCCTTCCAGAAGGGAGCCAGTAAAATCCCAAGCGTGTTAGGAGGAGTAACAGCTGCAGGGTGCACCACCCCGGGGCCCGGCTCCTGAGGACCAAGGCCAGGAGCTCCCAGCCATCTTGGTCTTAACGCACCACATGATGGCCGACTCCAGTTGTGGTAGTGATGATAAATTCGGCCACTGGCTGTCAGAACGGAGTCCTGGGATGTGTCAGGTTCCCTTGCTTCTCCCCATTTTCCATCCTGGGAGAAGAAGTCTGGAGCCTGTTGCTGCAGGACTGGGCGTACCAGGACTGTTGGGGGCGCTCCAGTTTCCCTCTGCCCTGCACTCCTCCTGGCCCCACCTAACCGCTCTCATCTGCGGTCAGCATATGACTCTCAGATGTTGTAATCCCTTGTTACCCAAATATACTTATTTATAGCCTGTTTTTAAAAAACGACTTAAGACATCTTGCCAATGTATGTATAATAAGGCAAATTTAAAAAAATTCAAGATACGGGGCAAAAGAAATTATGAGTAGGAAAATCAGGCATGACCCAACTAAAACTTAGTTCACAAAGTTCAAATTACAAATACAATCCCCTGGAGGCACTTTAGAGGCAAGTGACAGAACATTTCTTTTTTTCTTTGAGTTTCCTAGCAGTCAAAGCAAAGGGTAAAATTCATGTGTCTGTATGATACAGACCTCAGTGCAAGAGAAGAGTGAGTCATTACAGTGCAAACTCCCCTCACCCATGCTGGCCAGAGGGGCAGAGCAGTCATATGGCAAGGCCCTTCTCAGCTGCCCCCCAGGAGCAGCAGACTTCTGCAGTGCTCCTTGAGGTGGGCGCAGTGGCAGTGAGGACCCCACCAGAGGCCTGTGTAGGGGTTTCAGGCAGCTCATCCCTTCTCAAAACTTGCTCTCCTGAGGAGCCTCGAGTCTGGGAGACGTTCTGCCGCAAAGAGGACCCAGGTCATGTGAGTCTGGCAAGAATCCAGTGAGATCAGCCTGGCGAAGGCACTGAGAAGCCTTATGATGAAGAAACGGTCCCAGCATTCCTCGAACTGGTTTAAACCATTGAAATGCTTACATAGCACTCTGGGAAACCTTGATCTAAAATGGTTGCAAACAAACTAAAGGGCCAGATAGGGATTTTACCATACAGTCTCCATCGTAACTGCTCAACTCTGCCATTATACTCAGAAGACATGGCTGTGGGCCAGTCAAGGTTCATTCATGGATACTGAAATCTGAATTTCATATAATGCTCACACATCATGAAATAATATCTGCTATGATTTTTCTCGATAACATTCTAGTTTTGATTTTTGATTGGCAATAACTTTAGTAGGTGTTATCACTCGTTCATAGAAATGAAAGTCTCACGACACCCACAGACATTTACTTCTAAGAAACTTCCTGGTTAATTCTCCAAGGAAACTAGTCAACTACAGTCCCCACCACGCTAATAGAATGTTCTGTCTGATTTTGAGTAGAGGGATGTTCTCGTGCTTCTTGTGACGAAAGGAGGAGTCCCGAGACATTTCCACCACTGTCTGATGGTTCAGACTCAAGGCATAAGTTGTTTCTTGAATACTGTGTTTACAAAGCGTTTTGCCAGCTTTTATAAGGGATATAAAAAGCATGGTGTGCAGTGGAAGAGTGTTATAGTGAGAACGGGAAAGGGAATCCTTAGCAAAAGGAAAGATTATTTCAGGCAAAGTCACCTTCCTTTAAGGGGTCTTATGCAGGGTACCTCACTAGCGCAGACCAGGAAATTCCACATTGAGTGGTTTAAAACTGTTTTTGGAAGAGGCTGAAACGCATTTAGGTTCGGTATGAAGTCTTGGTGGGGCTTGGCATAAAGGATTCCATTTGGGGCCTGTGGTTTCTTTTTCTTTTTTATTTTTTTAAATCTTTTTTTTTTAAGATTTTATTTATTTATTTATACAAGCACAGGGTACAGTCAGAAGCACGGGAGGGTGAGAGAATTCACCAGATCCAGAGTGGGAAGCAGAATAGGCAGACTGATGAAGTACACTACTGAGGGGAGCAGCGGGCTGCAGGAGAGGTCTGTCGTGCCATGTGGGACCCTCACCGGTGGCCGGGGATTGAACCGGCACTGCAGAGGCTGCGGGCAGCTTCGCAGCCCAGTGCTGAAACACGACACCATGAGGGGAGGCCCTGTGTTTTCTTTTTAAAGAAAGCAATGCTATGAATTTGATGGGCAATATTCTCCACAGTGCTAAGTCTTCTTAAGTGACAATTGTGATGAAAGTTTTTAAAAATCTGGACAAGTATGAAGGAAAAAAATTAACCCATATTTCTAGCACCCATTGATCAACTTTACAATTAACATATTTTTTTACATTCATTAATTAAAAAAATCATGTTTAGAATTGTTAATTTTTAAATTAATAAACAGTAAAATTGGCCTTTGTGGTACAGTTCTGTGAATTTTAAAATGCGCATAGAATAAGCACCAGAGCAAGCACCTCTTTATAACCACACCTTCCGTAGCACCCAGCGACCTCTGATCTGCTGTCTGTCCTATAATTTGCCTTTTTGAGACTGTCATATAAATGGAGTCACATATCATGTGAGCTGTTGAGAGTGACTTCTTTAAGCAGCATAACACCTTTGGGATTCACCCCGGTAGTTATGTGTATGAATCATCCATCCCCTTTTGTTGCTATGTAGTATTCTTTGTGTAGACATACCAGAGTCTGGTTATCCATTATCCAGGGTTGTTTTTTGTTTTTTGTTTTTAACATTTGGACATTTCTTCAATCCAGAATTGTGTAAAAATCAACGCATATATTTAATGGGGATTTTGTTTCCTCGACAAACCGTTGAGTTATGGTGCGTGTCTGGATCCAGCTCTGTAGGGAGAGATGATCAGTGCGAGGGGTCGGGTGATTTCTTCTTCCTTGGCACTCTCCATTTTCATGAAATGAGAGGAGCAACAAGTCACTGTTCCTTGAAGGACAGGTTCTCATCAGCCCCCAAGGAAGAGAAAGGGCAGCCAGAACTGACCACTGGGGAGAAGTTCACTGAAGGGGTTTGTCTCTCTTGTTGATAACTTTTTGGGGAAGCCTCATTTTGGAAGCTACTGAGCCCTATTCCACCTGAATCAAGGAGCAGTCGGCGCCCGCTCACAGGGAGGAAGAGAGAGAGAGACACATGGCTCCCACTTGTCCATGCCCTGCCTCACGTCTTACTGCAGACCTCAGCTGTCCTCAAGGCTATGCCACAGTGGAACGAGTTTCTCTGATTTGCAACATTTCTAATTGTATCTTCAATCTTTCCTAGGAAAGACTGTATTTTCACCATTGACCCTTCCACTGCCCGGGACCTCGATGACGCCCTCTCCTGCAAGCCACTTGCTAATGGTAGGATGGAAATTTCTATATGGTTCTGGAGGGTGGGCAGTCTGCACACCATGGGGTCGGCCTGGCCCTCTGGTGCCACCCAGCAGTGTGATATGCAAGGCTGGGTTTGCTTTGTTCCTGCGCTTGCGCTTGGCCCCTGAGCCCACATGGCCTACAGCCCGAGGTTTGTGTCCTTGGTGACTTTGGTGGGGTCGAGATGAGAGCTGTCCTCTTGCAAGACCCTTCCTGGGAAGAGGCAGCGGTGAGAAGAACGGCTTCCAGGCCATGTCCTTCAGAAGTGCCAGAGAGGGTAGAGGTGTGAAAGAAAGCAGGCCCCTAGGCGCTCTGCTGAGGGTGAGCACTGGGTTGTTTACTGGAACATAAAAGAGTGGAGTGATTCTGGGGTGCGCTCCACAGGCAGCTCAGCTGTGGCCCATAGAGCACCTTTCCTGAGGGTGCCCCCCAGGGCTGAGCAGGGGCGGAGGCTACTCCAGGAGGTTGTCTTCTGTCCAGCAAATTGCAAAAAGCAGCTATTCTGGGTTCTTTAAACATTCACTTGGGATGGAGCTGAGCAGAGAAAAGTGGGCTTGAGGCCAGTGATCTTTGAAAACTACAGCAAGGTGGAGGGAAAGAGCAACATATTCTATCCATCCCCATTCCCACACCCCCACCCCAGGTGAACTACTCAGTGTCCTCGGCTATGCCTCACTACCTTCTAGGCAGGCTCCCAGGGGCTGCTTTGGCCCCAGGCACTCCCAGAGATGGCTTTGACCTTGACGCCTGGCCCAAGAGGGTGTCCACCTTGCGGTTTCAGTCTGCTGCAGGATGTGGGTGCCCCGTGGCCTGGTCTTTTCGAGCATGGCCGATACAGTCTCCTACGCCAGGCTCTGCAGCTTCGCTGTGTAACCGCCCCTCTGCTGCAGCAGGCAGTGACCTTGCCCACCAATGCTTGTATCTTCTCTTAGTGTGAGTCACCCTTAAGAGGATGGGCCAGATTGCTGAGGATTTTATAGTAAAGAACTTTGCGAGGAAGGTAAAGCATAAAGAAAGTTCCATGGAAATTTTAGTGGAATCATCCATTTTTAAAACCCCAAATTTGAACATTCCACTTATAAAAGCAACATGGCATTGGTGCCTTATATTCTGAGCAATCCCTGCTGTGTGCCAAGGCTTGGGCACCCGCCTTCAAGCACCAGTGCCAAGTGCCCCCAGGCAGAAAGCCAGGTCACAGGGGCCTCCCTTCCCGTGTTCGCCTTCTCCCGCGGGCTCACTGTCCTGCCCAGGCTGTAGTCTACTGCTTGAAAACAGTTCCTTCATTAATTTCATCCACTTTTATAGTTGTTAATGGCAGAACCATGAATCTTAACACCCGTTTCTCCATCTTGGCTGGCGCGTGCGGGTGTCCCTCTTGCGGGCGCCAGGGAGCAGCCTCGAGTCCCGCCCCACCCACTGTGCACTCTGAGTTTCCTGTCCCGGGTTCCGAGTTACCAGCAGAAGATTAGGGTGGAAGTGGTAAGAGGTAGGGCAGGAAAGGCAGATGGAGGACAAATTGTACATGTCAGTACATTTTTAACCCCCAAATGCATTATTAGACCTGTTGTTTTCAGCGTGTTCAGGGGGCACCGTCAAAATGTGGAAGACGATTTAGCAGTGCAAGCCACAGGAGAGGGACAGGCTGAGGCAGAGATGCTGTTGATGGGCAGGGACCTTGGGACTAAGATACTGGACGGGATCATGGTAGAGAGTTGGCGGGGGTGGGGACCATGGAGACACGGAACGGGCGGCGAGGAGGAGTCGGTGGAAACAGGTCTTGGAGCTGCGAGGCGACCAGGACAGGGTGGAGGTTTCCACCTGGGAGACGAGAAGCTGGAGTCCTCAAGTTCGAGACTGGGGAGGCGGGAGGAAGGTCTGGTTTGGGAGACAACGTTGACCCGGAGCTGTCTGTCTGATGTAATGTATTTACTGAAGCTGCTCAGTCCTTCCCAGAGAAGGGGCACAAATAAGCTGAGAGTGTGCCGTCCATCAGACTGTCAAGAGTGGCTGCAGAAAAGTTGCCCCTGCCCCAAAATGAAGCAGCGGTTTTATTAGAATGATGGGATTATATGTGATTTTTCTCTTTTTTTCTGGTTTCCAAATTTTTCTACTGTGGTAATAATAGTTTTACAATGAAAAAAAAAGTAATAAAGAAAATTATGAGGTGCCAGAAATCACGGCTGCCCAGGAGTTCATTGCACCAGGTGATCAGAGACCTTCCATCTGCTCATTCCAGAGAGTTCACAGCTGGTCCTGCAGCGGGGCAGCAGGAAAGGACAGAGAAAAGGAGTCAGGGGTGCGCCCGAGAAGGCCAGAGCTGGCCAGCTGGGCGTTTTTATGGTGGCACCTCTACAGTTGGCCTTTGTGACAGCAGAGCCTGCCAAGGTCATTCATCCAGGGAGAAGAAAAGTGAAAGTCAGCTCCAGTTTGGACTGGGGCGAGGTTGGCGGCGTTCAGGTTCTGTTAGTTACCAGCTCATGTCAATTCTGCTTAGAGGGAAAAATGTTCAGCGTTTCAAAAAGCAAATACTGTTTTCTGAGCATATTCACATCATCTATAACCACTTTTATTTTAAGAAAATGTAAAGGTCAGACTTTCCTTTGGTCCCACTGAAGTGTTGCAGTGACTGTTCCGTGCAACAGCTTCTCCTGGGCCCTGGCTCTCTTTCCGCAGAGGTCAGGAGTAGCCAGGACGTGCTACAGAACCCCCAACAGGGCGAGGCTTCGAGTCTGCAGATCAGTTCTGCAGAAACCGGTGGCACCTGTTCTCCAGTAGGTGGTGATCAGGTTGGGAGGCGCGGGATGCCCCCGCCCCTCCGGGAACCTCAGCTCTGGAAAGGCTTCTACCAGTCACCTCGCCAGGTAGCCCTCTCCTCTGGCAGCCTGGGGTCACACTGGCGGGGACGGTGCCCAGAAGCATTGCCAGCCTGCTGACTTCACTGTGCAGGTTCTCACTTTTGCTCGAGAAAATATTTAATAAGTGAATAAGTGGTGGTGTAATGATAACCGAGACTCTAGACAGTAAATCACACGCCGCGGGGTTTATTGCCGTAACAGAGCCTTGCAGCACACCTCACCGTTGACTTCACCGCTCAAGGGTGGGGTGCCAGTTGTCACATCACCCTCTGCTTTTCCAATTACCTCTGCAGCGTCCACTTATTGGATCTCCAGATTGCATTTGAGCTCTAGCCTCTCCGCCTTGCAGGCAGCCCGTTCTGCCTCGAGACCGAGGACTGGTAGGAAGTCCTTCCCTCCGAGGTCTGAAACACTGCTGCCCGCCTGTGGTGCCCACCCCCGGCCCCACCTATACCCCTGGGCTTCCTGCAGAACCGGCCTCTCTCGCGTGACGCCCCCCAACCCCGCAGCTGATCTTCACCTCTGAGCCCCAGCTTCTCGGCTGAGCGTCTCTGTGCTCCTCCGCGTCCTGTAGCGCATGAAGCGCGGGCCCTTTCCCATGTCTTGGGGTTACTTCTGCCTGAATGGGACCCAAGGGGAGGCCTCCACCCCCGTCAGGGCACAGTGACTGCCCCAGCCAGTTGCTCCTTATTGGACAGAACTGAGTCCAGAGTAACAGCCGCCCGTTCTGTTCCGTTCAACCAACATTATTGCTCGCTCTAGGCTCTGAGAGGAAATTGTCAGCCAAATGGGCCAGGACCTGTATTCAGCTTTTAGTTGATTCAGGCTCCCGACAGATCCTCCAGGAAATTGCTGTTCACTGTTCCCCTAGTGTCTGCTGCCCTCATGTTTTGTTCTCTGACGTGTGCTCTGCCTTTGACCACGGCGGGATTATCCTCGCCCGGCCTTACACATGAGGCTTGGGCTGGAGGCGGGCATGGGGAATGGATGCTAATGGGTTTGGGGTTCTTTTTGGCACGATGAACGTTTTCTGGAATTAGATAGTTGCTAGTTGCACAACTTTGTGAATACACCAAAACCACTGGGGGAAATGAGTGAATGGATGAATGAATAAGAATAAACAAACAAACAAATTCATCCAACCTTGAGGCTTTCTGGAAATTGGAATTTACACCTTAACCACAACTTAGCAGAAGTCTTGATGGAATGCCTGGCTGGGTACCCACCGTCACATCCCTCTTGTCCGTCTCTTCTCCTCGCTGCTTTCACCTCTGAACCACGAGATTCGCACCCAAGGAGCCCACCCCTCAGCTCTGCCTCCGGCCACGCTTCACACCCTCGCGAGCACAGGCTTCTGGCTCCGGATAGGAGGACCTGCCCTCTGTCCAGGTAGAAGGAAGGCACCTCCTGGAGCAGGAGACTCGGGAGTGCACGTGCCCTGCTCTAGTCTAGGGGGTGCCAGTCTTCCTGCCTCCCTGGCTGCCTGGCTTTCGCTTTCCTGGGGAGGTTGGAAAGGGTGCCCTGTCCCCCTGAGCTAGTGAGGGGACAGGAGTAGAGCCTGTGAGAATCCTGTAGAATTCCTCAACCCGGTAGATGACCCATTTGATTCTGTTTGTCACCTGCCGAGAATTTCTTGTTATACTAACCCCTTTGGGAGGCGGTGAGGAAGCAGGGCCGGGGAGACAGTCTCCTGGGAGTTAAGATGGCAGCAGTTTTAAAGAGCGGAGAGCTGAGATGACACCTTTGGATCTGCTGTTGGGAAGGAAAAAGAGAACATGGGGTCCTGGAGCTTATGCACGGAAGGTTCCTGGGTCCCTCCTCTGGTCTCACCTCTGGGGGGGGGGGCTCTTGTTCACCAGACACTCACCAAAGCCCATTCCATTCCCCTATGTTCTGGTCCCCCCTTCGCACACAGACAGCGGTCTCCAGCCCCGGGCCTGTCCTCCACCCCTGCACCTGCTCCTGCAAAGCTCCTCGCCAGAGTGGTCTGTGTTTGCCGTGGCCACTGCCCCTCCCTCTGCTCACTCCCTTTGTAGCACCCCTTGTGACTGCTCCAGGGGCTGGTGCCAGCCTCCGTCCCCAGTATCTGCTGCATTCAGACTTTTGTCTACTCTTCCCTCTTACTTTCACTCG